GAAAAACCTCCATCTCCATAGCATCACAGAAGGTTTTCAGAGCTTCGGCAGCTTTTTTGCCGTACTCCTCAACCTCCTGCTGCTTCTCTTCAGCTGCTGCCTGCTTCAGCTTAGCAAGCTTTAGCTCTTCCTCGGCTACCCTTTGATCGTGCTCGGCAGCGTCCACCCTATCTTGTAGGGAATCTATCAGCTCTACAGTGAGAGTCTGATTGTGCACGAACTGAAAACAGGGGCACAAGTTAAAAAAGTAAAAAATAATAGCTGAAAGGTTGAGTTCAGAAAGAAATCAAGGCAAGGAAAATTACCTGCATCATCAGCAGTTGGTTAGACCTGGCTGGGTCAGGAACTGATCTACTGGATTCGCCCATCCCAGCAGTGGCCTTCAGCGACCAGATCCTTGCCCTGTCTACTTCGGACATGCCAGCAAAATTGCCGAAGTAGGCTGCAGCTCCTTCTCGGTTTTGACCCCATATGAGGTCCCAGATGTGATCTGGGATTGGAATTCGGGGGGCCGAGAAACCCATTTCTCCAGAATGCAGAGTCTGGAAAGAAGGGAAGGACGACGATGGAGCTTGATTAGCTTTGGTTGTCTCAGCATCGTCCTTCTCAGAGGAGTCAAGTACTATGACCTCCTCTTCTTCAGGGGTGAGGACGAAAGCCTCAACCTCTCTTGCGATATCTGCCGTGAAGCCTTCAGCACTTGACATCACGGCATCTTTATTTCCGTGCTCAGCAGCACTCTCCTTGATTTCTTCTTGGACCCCTCCCTTAGGTCCGGGAGTTCTCTGATCCACCTCCATCTCAGGAGGTGGTGGAGGGGTCTTTTGAGGAGATTGGGGTGTTGGCTGGGGAACCCTCGGCGATCCATTGCCTTCCTCAGGTTCCCTTATTGCGACGCCGATGGTCATCGGCCTCTGCTGAAAATCATGAGGGCCGATGATGGCCATCCTTCGGCGCCTTTTCAGAAGGGGCTGCTCGTCCATATCTGAATCTGAAGACTCTTGTATTTGATCTTCGGGACGAACAGGAGCTTTGCCTTCTCTGTGTCTGTTACTCTCTTCAGACTGTAACAGACAGGGGGGAAGAAGAGTGTGAGTAAAAAAAAAAAAAAAGAAAGAAAAAAGTTGTCTAAAAACTCACCGAGGTCTTCAGCAAAGCCTCGTCTTCTTCAGCTGCTCTAGCTGCAGCTTCGGCTTCAGCAGCTCTGGAGGACCCTTCTCCTCCTTCACAAGCTTCAATAACCCGTGCAACCTCTTCGGCTGTACGGGCAGCTTCAGCTTCTTCTTCCAGCAGCTGAAACAAGGGATCCCTCTTCTTCCACCAAGGCTTCTGCCTCTGATACAGAGCAACAGCCTCAATTTGGAAGTGGGAAGAGTCTAGGTGAACCTCTCGGCGCCTTGGTTCAGTGATAGGGGGAGCCCGATCAGTTACGACTCGTTCTCGGTTGACGCCAAGGCGAGCGTAATCAATGCCGATGTTGGTCTCGTCCCGTTCTGAAAAAGAAAAGGGGAGAAGTCAATTCAGTTAGTTCGGCACATCACAAGAAAGCAAAATGAAAGAAGAAAAGAGATAATTAAAAGGCCTCGGCCCCAGCCGAAGAAGATTACCATCCCTAAACTTTCGGCTGAGGCCGACAGCTGCCAGCATATTCTCTTGGAAAACATAGTGCGTATCGGGGAGCCAAGTCTCCGGGATATGCTGCATTCGGCCGCTGCCTCCCCGGTTCGGCAGCTTGCCGAAGATGTTCTGCTGATTAAGGTTCGGGTCTGGCCCGCTATCTTCGGGAGGACCTAAACTTCCCATATCAGGATCCGGCTCGGCAAGATACCGGGGAGCGCTGAAAACATAAGGATGGCTCGGCTCCGTGGGCGCCCTAACCCAAATCCATTGACCTCTCCAGTCCTTGTCTGAAGAGTCGTTCGGCCACATGGTTAGGAACGGGGGCCGAGACTCAATCCGATACCACCCAGAACCATGGCTTCCGTGCCCACTCTGAATATTTGGCACTAGCCGATGGAGCTTTCTGAAGCAGTGCAGGTTCGGCACGTATCTGAAGAATTTGCAGACCCATAAGTACGTCATTACCCTTCGGATGCTGGTGGGGGTCAGCTGGCACAGGGAAATGTTGTAATGGATCAGCAAGTCTCGGACGAATACGTCCAAAGGGAACCTCAGCCCATACTGAAGCTGTCTCGTGTACACCCCCACATACCCCGGGGGTGGACGATGGATTCTATCGGATGCTGAGGGCATTCGGCACCAATATCCATCAGCTTCAAAAATGCCGTAGTACAACTCAATTTGCTCAGCAAATCGATATTGATCGGCGTTCTCTACCCACCATGAGTAGGGACGGTTCTTTATCATGGCCGAAGCTACTTCGGCATCCTCCCACTCTGAAAACCCTGGGAGGATATCCCAAAGGACAGCGGGAACTTCATCATCCCGTCCTGAAGCTCTCACCCCCTCAGCCCTCTGAGGAGGAGCCGAAGAAATGGGAGTCGCCCTAACCCCTTCAGCAGGGTCAGACTCTGTCCTTCGTCCATTCCAGGTCCCAATCCTGTCCCTGGGATCGGGGATTAGCCTTGCTCTTCTTGGAGCACGGGCTCCACCTCTAACTCCCCTCACCATCGACGAATTTCGAAGGAAAAAGTCGAAAAAGGGGAAAGAGTGCAAAGTCGAGGAAAAATGAAATAAAATCAAAGGAATTTACCTTGATCTGAAGCAAAAGCCGCCGATTTACGAATTGGTAGTGACAAGTCTCAGCTTCTAAGCTTAATGCTCGGGGAATTTGCGAAGTTTTGATGCGGGCTCTTGAGCGTTCTTGAGAATTCTGGGTTTGTGTTGATGAGTGAGTGGGGAGAGAAGACGCGCCTCTATTTATATCTCCAGAAATGGGAATTCAAGGAGTCTGCGTTTCAATTTCTCTCAAGCACCCCACTAAGTAGCCGTTAAACACACAACCTTGCAGTTAAATCGCCCACTACCCGTCCAACTTCCGCAATCATCCACATTAACTGTTGTTATCTCATTAATCATGGGTTAATTACGGTTTAAATTCACATTTTTGGATCAGCAAATCATTCACTTCCCTCCTTTTCTGGTTAAATCAAACCCGACCCGTCATCCTTCCAAATCGGGTCTGGGGGGCAAGTTGTTTGGGTCCAATTTAGTCCAATTGGGCCTGGTCACTGAATGATCCAATTAAAAGCCCAAGGCAAAGGTTCAACATCCTCAAAGCCATGTCAAGGTCAGTCAACGGCCCAATCAGCTTGGCCCAGCCCAACTGATTTCCGGGCCCAATCCGCCTCCTTCATTAGCCAAGGTATAAAAGCCAACAATTTGGTCAATTCTTGGTAAGACAAAGACAATAAAGCCTCAAGCAACTAAACTCTTGCACAGCTTTCTCTCTCTAATATACTGACTTAAGCATCGGAGGGGCCTTCCTCGGCGTCCCCCCCGAGGCTAGTTTACGTGTATTTGTTGTGCAGGAAACCCTCGGCTCCTGCGTCGTTCGGACCGAGACCAAGTTCCCTCAAGATAAAAGGATCTTCCGAGATTCGATTGTTTTCATCCGAAACAAATATAATTAGCTTCATCGTTATTAAACCTATTAGACGACTTAAGCGATGGCGAGAATAATAGATCACCGTTCTGATCCATTTGTTCCTGTAAAGGGTACGATAAAAAACATGTTTTCATCTTGAATACTAGGCAATGGTATCGACTTTTCTAGATTAGTCGGGTTACATGATGGTAACTCCCACAAACAATCGTTAGGGACGCATAATGGTTCTTCTAGATAATTAGAATTAGATGAAGATGAATAATTAGTTATTAATGATATTTCTTCAAACCTTTCAAAATCCGAGAAATAGTTTGGGTCAAAACCATCTTGATAGAGTAGCTCGTGTTTAGTAATAGCCATGGTAGCAAGAGAAATTATCGTTATGACGTGTATGTATATGATGTACAACAGTGTTTTTTTTTTTTAATGGTCATAACACATATTTATAGAGGAAGAGAATAAACCTAAGTTGGTTAATTAATGTAATATAAGGAATTATAGCACATAGTAAAATTACTAAAATTATCCTTAAATAGGGAAAATTTTATAAACGTGACAATTAAGCTACCTTGTAGTAACCCAATAAAAAACATAATACTACTAAAAACATAATAGATATGAAACAGCACATTAAAAAAAATATATATATCCAATAAAAAGATTTACATTGTGAGAATTGATGAGAATATAGGATAATAATAATATTTGCTAAAAACATCTTTCATATTTATTTTAAACGTGTTTTTTTATTCTCAATTATCTTTAAAGGTGTAATTTCATAATTAGTTGGTCCATAAAAATACTTTACATTAATACAAAGTATAAAAGAAAGATATTTTCTGTCTTTTACCTTTATTTTATTTTAGGGTTTATAATAAATATTAAAAAATATATGTTCTTATCAGAAAATAATAATTGAACGAATGAATATGCATGCTTAGCAAGGCAATGCATGTAAACACTTTTAAAACAATCTTCTATCAATTTGTCACATACCCTCATTTTTTTTTTTTTTTAATGTAATGGCTACCCAACTATCGTAATTCTCGTCTTCATCTTTTAATATAATCTTTGTTAATTTATTAAGCTATTGTTTGTTAAAATTCGGTTTTTATCTTATTATTAATATTTAATTAATACGGAGTACTTCATAGTGTTTATCTCATCGGTGTAGAAAGTGAGCTCAAGCGTGGATCAGATTTAGTCATGCCCAACCACCCAAGCATGCAAGCCCAGCACTAATGGATTCTCCTTTGGCCTTTGAGCATGTCGGAATTGAGTGATCAAGGTGTAGCACAGTCCGTCAAAAGGCCCAAAATTGGCATAACCCATAACTACTTGTTTCCTATTTGAACAAGAATAGGTCTAGCTATTTTCGAATTGATTTACAAGTACTCGGTATGTTTCAAACTCCATCTAAAAAAACCAAAACAAAACAAAACAATTATACACTACTAATTGATTGAGTTAATCAGGATTCAGGACATAAGAAAGTACAATATATAATAACACACTATAAAAGAGCAATCTTATTTTCTACATCACTATACGGAGTCCGTATTAGTGTTGTACCAGTTGTCATTACAACGATTTCACAATAAGATTTACAAATATGAAATTAACCCCGAAGTTTGCCAGCAATCATAAAAGCCTTATAAACCACGGGTTTAACCAACTGGGACCCACCCCATGCAGTCATTAAGTCATTAACCACACTCTCATTCAACAAATCCACCCCTTTTTCTTTAGCCGTTGTAACAGCTGACCAAGACTTCAACATCCCCAAGAACTCCTCAAACGACATCGTTTTAGGTATGTCCAATTCCATAGGACGCCCCTCACTCCCTAGCCCAACATCTTCAAAGGGAAACGGCAGCGTTTTATACCCATCAAACACGTATCGTATCTTCGGGTCCCAATATGGTAGGGTCGTCTTATGAAATCGGTTCATAATTGGATCAAATGTGGGACTCACTGTGACGTCATTATAACACCAAACTGCGAATATTCCTCTTGGTTTTTTTAGTAACCGGTTCACTATAGAGTAAAAGTTAGGAAGATCAAACCAATGGACCGCTTGGGCTACAGTGATTAAATCAACCGAGCCCTCTGGTCCAATTAAGGAGATGAGGTCATTGTTACTTAAAGAGGTTGGTGTGTGGATGTACTTGACCCGAGGATGATGGATGGCCCGACTGATTTGGGGTTCACTTATGTCTGTTGCTATCACTTGATTGTAATATTCGGCAACCTTCACAAATGGTAAAAGGAGGAAAATTTTAATTAAAAAGCCTGTTCTTAAAGAAGTTGTAATTGTCTAATTGTAGAAGTTAATTGGGGTACAAGGTCAGAAGGTTAAGGTTCCACCCCAAAGTATCTCTAGTGAAGTTTAATCACCCAAACCTTTCCAGTAGTCCAATTAAAATCGGAGTACATCCGTTTTCATTTAATCTTAACATGTACTAATTACATGAATATTAAGGAATTGGATTAAAGCAAAGAACACGTAAAATGAAATTAGACATGCATTGTATTCAAAAAAAAAAAAATATTAAGATATGCATTGAAGGACTGAAGGTACATGACAAATGAGAACTAGCTAATGTTCCAACAAAAGACGTGCCTAATTTCTCGGTATCTTATCTTACTTATTTAATTTAACAATAGTCTTTAACAATCCTAGATCTACAACATCAGAAATTAAGAATCAAGAAAAAATGTAATATACAATAGATTAAATCCCGACTACATCATAACCCTATACGACTCCTATCCATTACGAGTACAATCTTACACGAAATGGAAAGACCCAATTATAGAAGTAAAAAAAAAAAAAAAAAAAAAAAAAAAGAGTTAAAGAAAGAGAAAGAGAGACATTACAGAGATAGCAGCTTGGCCATTGCCAGTACCAACATCCCAAGCCAAAGAGTGGTGAGAGGTGCGATCAGCCAACAAAGTATACCATTCTTTTGGGTAATCGGGCCTTCCTTCTACATATAAATCTGCTTGTTTGTCAAATAACCCTGCCATTTTTATTTATTTTTTTAGTTTTGTGTTTTTAAAAGTTTATTATGCTGTTGTATACAACTAGTACAAGTACTTATATACGAAATAGGAATGCTTAAATCGTTGACTTTATCAACTAGAGTTGATCTCAACGGTGGGGATTTTATCCACATCAATAAATCTTTTGTTTTTTATTAATGGCAACCCTTTTATTTTTATATTTTTGGAAAGGATTGATTATATTTTCTAAAATAACTAATTATGGTACTTCATTAAAACTGAATCCTTGTCACCTGTACCTGCAAGCAAACGGAAGCTCCTGTTGTTCGGAGTTACGCCTCCGACGATCAAGTTAATATGTGTCGAAATAGAGTAAAGTGCAGAAAGTAAAGCGAATCTTCTCGAATCCCGAGATCAGGTGATTTCTTCATTGTAAGAGAATAGTAATTGATGTAATAAATGAACGTGTCCCCAAAATGGGGGTAAATGTCCCTATTTATAAGGCATTGGGAATAGTGCCCTTACGTAGGTCACTTAGACCTAGATTTGGTGGGCTGCATCGTTTTATGACGCTTCAGGAATTAGGCCATTGAGGATCGCCATTTTCCTTCAATGTCAGCGTGTCACGTGTCTTATCCTGATTGACCCATTTTGGGCATTTCAAGTTACATGTGTCACATTCTGGTTGGTCCACGTAGCTTGGGAATTTTTACCCAAATCAATATGCATTGAAAATTGTGTAAAAAGAGTTAAAATACATGAGGCAAATAAAAAAAAATGGAATAAGGATATTAAAAATAATAAAAAATTTAAAAAAAAAAAAAGGAACGAATATGTTTTGCAAGTCAATAATACGGAGTACATTTTTTTTTCAAGAGCTACTGCCAGGTTTAAGTTTAACATAATTTTCACAAAATATAAACCTAAAAATGTCTGAAGTTGTGTCGGTTGTTTCATATTCTATTAAAGTATTAAACACAAACTTAAATATAATTCCAAGTAAAATCACACGCACTTATGCTATGGAAGGCTGGCTAGATTTCTAGAATCTAGATTTGAGTTCAAAAATTATTCTTCAATTTCATACCCTTCGATAATTTCTACTTTGGAAATCACTCTGTATTATTGCGAAATTTTCAATTCGAAAAACCACTCCTTTCTTTGGCAGTAAAATTAAACAGAGTGCTAATGAGTCTAGAAAATTATAAGAAAATAATATAAACCAAATACCTAATGCAATAACAAAATAATTCGTATATTACCCTCATCAAAATATAGAACTCGTCTCTACCTCTCGCGTAATCATGTATATGAATCTCTTATGGAGTACAAATCTACTTACACAAACAAGTATATGGATCTGATTAGCCAAGTGACTATCAACTTACAAACCTTATATACAATGAAGTATAAATTTAATCTTGTATACAATAATGTATAAATTTTGTAAGTTCCGAGTCAAAGTTTTCCGTTCTTCCTGCCCCTCAATTGTTCTAAATCCAATGCTCCATTTTTGTGAAAATGACAGCAAATTTTTCCTCATTTGATTTAACTAGAAAATTTTGCCAACTCAGAAGATGTGAATCAAGTGATTGTGTATTGCATCTTCTTTCACAAAATGTATGTCGATCTCAACCAGATGTCAATAACATGAAATTATCGTTCTTTAAACTTCTGGGATCAAGAAGCCATATATAATTTCAGAGGTTTTTCGCTCTCATTGATATCCGTCAATGGAGAAGAAGAAGATGATGACGACGACAATGATTTAGGACTTTCCTGGATTTCAGGGGCACCTTCATCATCCTCACCTAATACTACTACCCCTCCAAAATGAACCCTTCTAGGACTTCCTGGCTGTACAACCACCCCAGATGCTCTGTTTTCATTCTCGTTCCCACTCCCATTTTCTAAATCAACGTTGCTACCATTTCCACCATCGACGACACCATTACTAGTACCTGTACTTACAATTTGAATAGGACTAACACCATCCCCGTTACTATTCCTAGCCGACACACCAGAAGGAACAGCATCATCAGGGTGATCAGCACCAGAGGAACCAAAACAAGACATCCTAAACCCACAAGCACGTGAAACAATCCGATAAACCAATGTGAGGAACCAAAAGAACCAAGGGAAGCAAACTAGAGACCCGCCAATAACGGGGTACAACGAAGTATCCAGGTATGCAGGCTGGATCATGTACAGCACCAAGAAGACTGCACCTGAGACTGTGAAGATCAAAAGAAGGGAAGAGATGACCCATATATAACAAATCCCGGCCTTCGAATCCTCTGATATTGCCATTGGAAGATTTCGAGGATTACGAGAAGAAAAGAATCAGACTTTAGGACAGGAGGTGGAAAATAAAAGCTACATTTCTGGGTATTCCATGCCCCATCTGTTGAACAACAATGTCATTGTACAGAGTATGAAACAAAGGGAAAATGGGGAGGAAAGAGGGAGAAAGAGAAGGAAAAATGAATAATTTAATGGGGTGGAGGTTGATGGGGGTACATGGCAACACGATATGGGCAGAAATTGGTGTGATCATTAAGAGATTAGCAAATCAATCCAACCAAGGCTTGTTGACTTATGCCTTGATTAAACATCAGTTTTTGAGTTTTTGCCAACTATTTTATTTGTCATCATGGGTTCATCACACAGCACAGCAGTTTCCAGTTCCCAATTTATAAATTTTATTAATTGGATAACAACCACCAATTAGATAAGCTTCAATCTAGGCCCAATCCACTATATTTCCAACATTAGAGTTGGCAATCGAGTCGTATTTAGTCATATTTGTAAGAGGAACTAATGGTTTGGGAGCAGGCCAATTTGGGTCGCGTCAAAGTCAGGTCTATTAAAAAAATAGATTATTGTGGGAAACAAATTAATCTTAGTCATATGTGTGACTAAGGCTGGGTTGGGTCAATATTGCAAGGTATATAAAAAAAAATAACAAGAGAAAAATATAAAAGCCTGAATTGTATATTTGTATCTGAAGTTTCAATAATGTAAAAAGAGAAGCCTAAAATCAATTCAGAAGAATAAAATTGGAAAATATCTGAATAAATAGTTCGTATTTACAAATAAGTTGTCAAACAGGAAAAAAATTGCTTAACTATCTGTATAAGCACTTCAGCTTCAAAGCAACATGTAATATTACTATACTAGTATCAGTGTATCACAACTAAGTTGAATAACAAAATTGCCAAATTGGCAATTGAAAAACTAATTCAGGATTTGACAAAAAGACACGATCACCTTGTCTGTGCTTTAACTTCTCTTCTTACTTTCCAGTGTTGAATTACTCTGATCTGAGCCAGTTGCTTAAGAGAAATGAAGGTCCAAAAAGCTTCCATCATGTATCTCTAACAGTCCAAGAAGCAAGAATTAGAGTAGTTTATCATACAACCCACCATGCTGAAGCAACGTGGCATGGGTTTATGCCCGCATGATAAGCACAAGTTACATTTCCAACATATAGAATCACATACTAAGAGCTGATTGCCTCTACCACTGAAGATTCTTCCTTCTCAGACTCAACTAAGACAGAAGACATCATCTGGCGCCTCCTCTGTTCCTGAACTTGCCTTCGGTTTGTTTCCAGAATGATCATCAGAGCAGTGATATCAGCAGGGCTTACCCCACCAACTCTGCTTGCCTGGCCAATGGTCTGTGGCCTTACCTGCGAGGAAAAAAAAAAAAAAAAAAAAAACCAAAAACCATTTCAAACACATGCCTCAAATCTTGCTGAAAATAACATTCTGCATGAAAAACCAGGATGAGAAAACATAATGATCCCAAAAAACTCATTTAACCTCAATGTGGGATGGTGATATCCCCTTTTAAGCTCAAATGCTTGCAATGACATCCCAATGGCATGAGTAAAGCAAGTCTTTAAGGTGATATAGGAAAAGCTTCACAAAATTCAATTATTTCATTTCAAAATTCCAAAAAGTAGTATGGCACAAGGGGTATCCTACAACCTAAAAGCTACTGCAACAAATACAGGTTTAATATGTTCACCAAGCCAATTGTTGATAAGGAGTTCCAGTTACATCTTATGAATAATTGATGATAAAAAGGTGCCTTGTCTCCGGTTAACATTCACTGGGATGGTAAGCGGCAATGACTTGATCTAATAAATTAAGCTATTTGGGTATCTAATAAAGCTTTAAAAGAACTCTAGTAGTCTTATCATTGGAAGCTAAAATTTATTAGAAAATAAAAATTGATATACCTCAATAGAAATTACATTAGAGATCATACCTCATACCATTTTTTTTTTTTTTTTTAATGTTGAGTAGTGAGGCCAAAACACAAATTGCAGACTGCAGAGAAAGACATCTACAGATTTTTTTTTTCCCCCTTTGGGAATTAGGAGAGAAGGGATTGGGAGGGACGGAGGGTTATGATATGCAATAGATTATTCAGGGCGAATAATTTAATCACGTAACTGACAGTATCAATGTTTAAACGATGCCACACCATACTCTATTGCAAGCTACAAGGTCATTGATCAACACTAGAGGAATTTGCCATTAGATAAGCTTGGTACTAGGTACAGAAAAAAAGCATCTCCAGGGTTCAAAAAGCACAAAATTATCAAAGAGATTAAATAATACAAGAATTGACCCTCGCAGATGCTGCAGATAATATACATGTAAGAGAGTATATACCTTAGAGAGTTTCTAACGTGCCTCTCGAGACAAAGTGGTCATTGAGTAATAATCTAAATTGTCTGGAAGCGGTTTGTGTTGTTGATGAACCATCTACAAATAGAGCAAAGATCAAATCAAGGATGAAAATGGAAAGGATTTCATAGTTGAGGACATGTGAGCAAGATAAAGAAGACACGGGTTTATAAAGAGTTAAGACAAACATGCCAAGAGCACGCAAGAATTTACCTGCTGCAGCTGCTGTTGCTGTCTGATGATGAATCCCTCATATTTAATATCAATTTCTACGCATTCTTTCTCCATTTTGGTTAGGCACTGATTCCCAAAGCCATGCTTATCCAGAATTCTATACTCTATATGTGGCTTTTTAAGAAGACTCTCCAAGGTTGATGAATCCTTAACCGGTTGATTAGATAAGAGGGTAACATCAGCAGCCAGATCACCACCTACACACGTAGAAGAGTACCAGAAACTTAGAGATACCCAGGAAGGCGGCAACTTCACCCTCTCTGTTAACCAAGTTAGCACCTTTTCTACATTCACTTCTCTTAATATTAAGAATTTCCACATTTTAAATCAAAATAAAAATCAGTAAGACATAGTTACTCAAAAAAATAGAACAAAGGAGAGTCTTTATTTGAAACAAGAAAAAACAACCGCTACTACAGAAAATGAGGACAAATCTACTGGTCAGTGTTGCACCGAAAAAAATGAGAAGACACTCCAATTCAAAATGTGAGCATCAGTTTAACAAACTCCTAAAATACTATATATGCCTTTTTCTCATAGCAAGTCAAACTGTTAAAAAGGTTCACAACTCACAAGTCCTTTCAGAAACTGCAATGCAGCATGCCATGAGAAGTCACAATAATTTCAAGTACATCTAAAAAAACCTCTTGCCATAACTTTGAATACTCTGACCCACAACTTCCTGCCTCAAAAAAAAAAAAAAAAAAAAAAAAAAGAAGAAGAAGAAGATAGAAGATAGCTTACCTGAAATCCTGACAGTTTTCAGCCGTTTTTTCTCCTCTGCAATTCGTGCTTGTTTATCTTGGTATAGTTTCCAGCGTCTATCATCAATCAAACCAATTTCATAGCCCAGAGGTGTAAGACGACTATCAGCATTATCAGATCGAAGAAGTAATCGGTGTTCTGAACGACTGAAAGGAGCACGGAAATCAAGAAATCATTTGAAGAAAAAAGGAACATTTCCCATTACTTTCCTAGGACTTCTGGAAACAATATGTATGAAAGTCTAAAATGCTAGTACCTTGTTAACACTCGATAAGGTTCTCGAAGATCTTTGGTGATTAAGTCATCAATTAAAGTGCCAATGTAGCTGCTTTCTCTCTCAAGAACAATAAGGGATTTTCCATCAGCATGCCTTGCAGCATTAACTCCAGAAATGATGCCCTACAGAAAGGTAAAATTGGTTTTATCCTGATAACCAGATTGGTGGCCCATGATGTGCATGGGATTAAATGAGAGTAATATTTCTTTCGAGTAATTATATATACATTATTTTTGCACATGCTAAATACTCCTTATTATCAAAGGATTCTCCCTGCTACCTTTCAGTATACTTGTACCAGAAAATAACAATACCTAAGTTCTATAAAATAAATCAGTAAACTAGAAAACAGAAAGGTTTTTTTAGCTTCTTTGTCATCATGCTTTTTCCTGATGCTACTTTTAAAGGAGTCTCTTTTCTGACATGAGCGGGGAATTACAATCCATTCCTATGTATATTATGTACTCCTATAAATTCAACTCTTCTTTGATGTAATATAGAATGAGAGAAAAGATAAGGGCGTGGGGAAGTTAAACCTGTGCAGCAGCTTCCTCGTAGCCAGTCGTTCCGTTAATCTGACCAGAAAAGAAAAGACCTTGAATCTTTTTGGTCATCAGAGATCTAGAGCACTGGTAAGCAGGCAAATAATCATATTCCACAGCATAAGCTGGCCTCAGCATCGTACAGTTTTCAAGTCCAGGTAATGTTTGCAGCAACGGTAGCTGCAGCCTCTCAGGTAAACCAGTTGAGAATCCCTGAAAATAGATGTTAATTTGACGTCGTACTATCAATTCAGTGGAGAAGGTATGACGTTATTACCATTCAAAAGAAGAGAAGGCTGATCAAAAACATAATAGAAAAATAAGATTAAAATTAAAACAAAAGTAATTAGAGAACTTGCATTAAATAATTTCTGACAGCTGAGGAACCAATCAACTAAGCAAGATAATGTTGGAGGCTTGGACCACCCAAAGTAATAAATACAGAACCATGAACAGAACACGTAATACCTGTACATAAAGCTCAGGCACAGTTCGGCCCTCTGGTTCGAGAAAAATTTGATGCGACTCCTTGTCTTGAAACCTAACAATCTGAAGCACCAAACAGCGATACAAGAAGATTTCTGAGAGAATAAATATAAGGTTAAATCTTCATAGAAACAGTACCAAAAAAAAAAAAAAAAACAAACAAACAAAAACAAAAGAGACATAAACTACTTCTTTGCAGGTTTAGACTGAGTTCAACAGCTTCATCCATGCACCAATCTCCCCTCCATAAACAGAAGACTAGCACAATACACTGGGTTTATGGCTTTATGCAGCATAGACACTACAAACATCCTACTACAGTAAATCAAAAATAATGGAGTGCCAGAGCAACCCAATTCATTGGCGGTTCTTGTGAGTTGTGAGATCCCTCTTACTGCTGTATTTCTTATTAAGATATCTCTAGACAACACATAAGTAATAACACCTTTTGCTAAAAAGAAAAAAAAAATACATATTTTGCCTAGAATGACCTTGAATGTCTATTTAGGGCTAAACTATTAACTCAAGTCAACATTAGCATACTACCAAAGCCACTATCTCAATTCTAGCATTCTCAGCAAATCTCACTACAACAGTTACAAGCTTACTGACCCTTATTTCATTACGTAAAGCTTTGTGAGATTAAAAAGTTTCAATTCACATATAAAGAAAGAAAATAAAG